TTAAAAAAAAAAAAAATCGAGTGAAAATTATAATTTTTATATTTATTGAAAATAATTCTTTTTTTTTTCTTTTTTTTTTTTTTTTCCTTTGAATATTTTGCAAATTGCGTAAGTTTTGAATGTCAAAGTTAATTAACTATCGTCCACGGTGCAACATACGTATTAAATGGTTTATTGCGGTTATATCTTAATATCCACTCTTGAAGAATATTCATTCATTGCTAACAAAATGATTTTTTTTCCCAATTATAAAAGAAGTCATCACGCATTACGTAACAAAAGCATCGGAAATTAAAAAATTTCCGGAATTAAATATGCTATGCCACCCGAAATATTCCGGATTTAAATAAATTTTCTCGTAGTGTTAATTAATATTCTCTCATTCTTTTTAAAAATCTTAAATAATGTCTGAAACTCAAATGCAAACCGATCTTCAGGGTGGCTTAGAAACAGCAGCAAGTAAAGACTGGCCCGGTCGGTGGTCTCACCTTTACAAAATTTTAGATCGACGTGGTCCCTTCGCTGATCCAAGTTTTACTCCCGATCACGGCGATGTATTGGGCTCAAGTTTTATTTTCCTGCATGTCTTTTCCCGGTAGTTTTCATGTTTAAACACTATCATTAAAATAAATTAACTTTATTAACTATTTTTCTTTCAAAATATAGGAAATCTTACTCAATACTTGTAGAGTTCTCGTCATTGGAGCTGGCGGTTTGGGCTGTGAAATCCTTAAAAACTTGGCGCTCTCTGGTTTTAAGAATATTGAAGTGATTGATATGGACACTATTGATGTTTCGAATTTAAATAGACAATTTCTCTTTAGGTATTTTTAATCCCATAACTCTTGTCCGATTTTTTATAGTCTAATTGTTATTATTATTTTGTAAATTAGACCTTCCGACGTTGGTAAACCAAAAGCAAAAGTAGCTTCGGAATTTATCATGAAACGTGTTCCTGGTGTAAAGGTTACCTAGTAAGTGTTCCACATTATTATGTCGCGATCTTGTAATTTATTTCTTAATCTTATTATTCATTGTTTTAGTTATCACGGAAAAATTCAAGATAAGGACGATGATTATTATCTTGGATTTCAGCTTATTATTTGTGGCTTAGATTCTGTTGAAGCGCGTAGATGGATAAACGCCACTCTCGTTAATCTCGTCGATGGTGAGCCGGAACGAATTAGAGTATTGGTTGACGGTGGAACAGAAGGTAAGAAGAATATTAAATCGTTATTAAACCTTTAATAATTGTTAATTTAGTTAATTGAATTTTTTTAATTAGGTTTCAAGGGTCAAGCCAGAGTTATTATACCTACTATAACTTCATGTTATGAGTGTTCTCTTGATATGCTAGGTAAACAGAGAACTTTCCCCATCTGTACTATTGCTAATACACCAAGATTACCTGAACATTGTATTGAATGGGCTTCCGCCATACATTGGCCAAAAGAACGACCAGGTTTCTTTTCTCATTCACGTATTTTTGTTTGAACGATGATTTAAATGGCTCTTACAAATATGATTTTCTTAGATATTAAAATGGATACGGATGATCCAATTCATATACAATGGTTATATGAGACAGCATTGAAACGAGCCAAAGAATTTAACATTACTGGCGTTACTTATTCACTCACTCAGGGTGTCGTAAAAAATATCATCCCGGCAATTGCTTCTACGAATGCTATCATCGCAGGTATTTATCTAATCTAACGAATAATACTTTGATCCCGTTCACATATATTGATATTTATCTTATGTTAGCTTCATGCTGTAACGAAGCATTCAAACTTATTACTACATCGCAACCATATCTCAACAATTACATGATGTATACCGGCAATGAAGGTTTGTACACTTATACATTTGAACATCAAAAAAAGCCGGATTGTCCTGTATGTGGTAATGAACGTGTTACAATGGAGATCAGCATGGAAATAACAGTTGAAGATTTCATCGAATATCTCAAGGAAAAACAAGACATGTAAGTTCTTGACCTTTATATCTTAAATTTTATATCATCTTTGTTAATATTTATTTTATTTTATTATTCCCTAAAAAAAAAAAGTCAACTTAAAAAACCAAGTTTATCTCACGCCGTCACCAACGAAAAAATTTATTGGCAATCGCCACCAATTTTTGAAGAAAAGACCAGACCAAATCTGGAAAGGAAGTTACTAGAAATGGTGAAACAGGGAGACGAAATAACTGTTACAGATACTACCCTACCGATTTCTCTACAAATTGTTGTTTCTTACATCTAAAAAATAAACGAAAGGAACAGAAAATCGTATAGTTAGTTATTATATGTATTTTTATCTCTCTCAGTTTTAAACAGAGTTCATAAGCTTAATGTGTTTATATCTGAATTTTTCTGAAACAGTTTTTTTTATAAAATCATGTTATTATTTTTTTATACAATCTGGCAAATCTATTGGGAATTGTAAAAAATATAACAAAGTTCTTTTAATTGTTCTGTTAATGATTAGTTTTTTTTTATTTCTTTTATATTCATATTCTTTGCTTATATATTTTAATATAAATATTATTAAATTCTCTTTTGTTTTAAAATATAAATTTGCTAAATATTATAACATATTATTTATCATATTATTTTATTTTGTTGATTAAAAATCAGGGCTTAAAATAGATGACAAAATCCGGAATTTTTAAAAATCGCCGGTAAAAGGTTTTATATTCCGGATTTTTGCCCGGCAAAATTTTATAATATACAGTGGTGTGCAAAAAAAATGACAATTTTTACTGCGGTAGATCGTCATTATGTAACTAGCCCAATTTTGGT